CAAAATTCATTTTATAAATTGAAATTATTGAGCCATATTTTCTTTAAAGCCTACAAATTTTTTACCACTGGAGCTGCCAGCTGCGATTTCTTTATTCTTTCAGAACTTTTTATGTTTGCAACATTTCTACACTATATATGTGCTGAACAAAAGTTTTATTCACACGAATTTTTCATAAGACAATGAGGTTTAAGCAAACTTTGCTTGAATAGTATAATTGTATCAATGGTCAACACATACATCCATGTAAACATCCATTTCAAAGAGTGTTATGAAGCTCGAACTGTTTTTTCTGTAGTGTACGGTGAGTGTGTATAAGACAATTGGCTTGACTATGAAAACAGCATTTAAGCGATCTTTGTCCATTCTTCCCATCAACACGTCCAATGTGGCATTTTCCGAGGATCTGGTTAATTGGGCCTAAAGATTAATAATATATTGAATGATAAGTAATAATGAAACTCACTGTGACAAATTCTCTTTCCGTTGGTAAATCGAACACTTCCATTCTTATTTCTAACTTCCGATTTGGGTGGTAAGATAATGTGAAACGGCTCTCATTCAATTGAAAAATGAAAAAGAACATGACGAGAAGGCAATAGGCGTTCATTTCCAACAATACTCACAACAACTCGCGACTGAGAACTAGAAAAGTGAATTGTCAGACGTGATAAGTTATGCGCAAGGACAGTCTACATGAACGAAAGATATGAATATGCCGAATGATAAAGGAAAATATTTGAAATGGATTCCTATATAATCTCAAAAGATATAATTCAATTTATAAAAATATATAAGAGTAATATCGAAAAGATGAATTTCTAATGTTGCCCAGCAATAGGGAGATGAGAATGACATGTGGAAGCGACAAAGTGACAGATAATCAGCCAATGCAACAGATCAAGCAATATGATAGACAGGTAGTATGAACAACTGTAACAATGAAAATTTGAGACTGTTTGAATCATCACAGTAACTGTTATTTTTGAATATTGTAAAAACAGTACAGTGCGATTAGAGCAGATATGATTATGATTGCGCTTAGTGTTATTTTTCTACTCGTAGTCGATTACTCGTACGCAGATATGAGTACGCAAAAGCAAAACTTGCTGATTTCTCATTGGGTGATTATGATTTCGCAATTAAGAATTTGAATGTAAGCATGGTAATTCCTTGTATTATTGTTTTATCGTCGATCCTTGTGAACAGTATC